TCTTTTTTTTACAGTAAAATAACAACATCATTTTATTCCACTATAAATTGTCAAAGGCACAAAAATTATGTAAGATCTTGTGCCAAATTGGATCATGATCATTCCTTACTATTCTCAATTTCTCAAGTCCTTTGACCCACTTTTACGGCGATGACTGACCGTGGCTACAATCCTCCTGATAGCAGCTGCTGCCATGTCCTCTCCTTTAGGCTGGCCAACCAGAGTCATGCCCAGATACTTCACGGTGAACACCATCCCTTCCAAGAGTGTCTCCTTGGTGTCCGTCCAGTTCTCTGGGAGCTCTACACCACAAAATAAAACATTTTCATCATTTAAAGAGTTATTTAAAAGAATAGTTCACCAAAATATGAAAACCCTGTCATTGTTTATTCACTCTCACGCTGTTTCAAACCTATATGACTATATACACACAAGGAGATGCCGAATGACACCCTCAGTCACTATATGAAAAAAAAGATGAGACTCTCTGTCTCTAATTTGCTGTCAAACATCTCATTTTGTGTTCCACAGAAGAAAGAAAGTGGTTTAAAAAATAATGACATAATTGTCATTTTTGAGTGAACTGTCTCTTGAAGAAACCAACTAAATGTTCAAGGCTTTATAAATCAAAGGCTCAAAAGAAACTGCCTGAAATGTGAATTTGTATTTATTGATTAACACTGCAGGATATCAGAAGAAAGATGCCTGGCAGCAATTATGAAAAAAAAAACTTTTTTGATGCAATAAATAACGATCAACTGGATGCAAAAGGTCCATTTGCATATAAATATAAAAATATATCCATTAAACATAGATGACAGGTTTCACACCTTTCCATTAGGAGAAGTGGGGTTCATTCCCATGTAAGGGAAAACTGCTTCCAAAACTGTGCCACAGAGTGAGCTTTAAATAGCTTTCTGGTCCCATTTGAGCCTAAAGCCCTGTAGGAGTGCAGAGCTGGATCGAAAGATATGCAGAATGAACCTGACTAGACATCCACTGTCCTGCTATTGCAATTCTGAAGAAAAATCTATATAAAGCAGGCTCTGGATTGCTGGACCTTAACCCACTGTTGTGTGAATTATTGATTATTATCCTTTCAAAATAACAAAGATCCTTTATTATTATTTTATATACTAAATTTCTTATGGAAGAAAAACCATCAGAATTGAAGGAAGAGAGCATTTAAAATAGTGCCTTCTTGATAATTCATATTCATTATGACAGGTAAGCCAAAGTTTGACTCTTTATAAAGTTCTTTTTGTGACCTGCAGTAGCTCAATAGAAAACAAAATAAGAATAAAAATAAATATAAAAAAATAATGTATAATAATAATAATAATAATGTTATTATAATTATGTTGTTTTATATACTACATTTCATATGGAATAAAAAAATCTCAGAACTGAAAACATGAAAAGAACACTTAAAATAGTGACTCCTTGATAATTCATATTCATCATGACAGGTACGTTTTTCTATTTCAGACATCAATAAACTCTTTATAAAGTTCTTCCTGTGACCTCCAGTAGTGCTATAAAAAGTTAAATAAGAAAAAAATATTTGACATGATTAATAATAAAATAATAAGAAACATGAATAAGAAAAACGTTAGAATATTGTTGTTGTTATTTTATTTTTTTTACTTTAATTACTCAATTTCTTATGCAAGAAAAACTATGAGAACTGCACAGAGTTTTTCTTGTGATCTCCAATAACTCAACAGAAAACAAAGATATTTTAAATAATATTTTACATGAATAATAATAATAATGTGTTAGAACAACAATAATAATAATGTCATTATTATTATTATATTTTATATACTAAATTTCAGAACTGCAGGAAGAGAGCATTTAAAAAAGTGCCTCCTTGATATTCATCATGACAGGTGAGCCGAGACGAAGTCTATTTTAAACATGCACTTATGGTGTGTGCCACTTTTCTTAAATTACACATACAGTAACTGATTACTTCTATGTCCCTTTGCCTAAAAAGGCAGCTATGGAGGACAGAAACTCATCTAATCTGACAGTCCCGTATCCTGCTCTGACAGCTCTGCTCAGAGCCATCTGGCCCTCCCAGCAGCACCAGCTGTTTGAGGCCAGGAAGACAATACCAGCATCATGGCTTTCTCAACTGCAAGTGAATTATTAACCTAGAGGGACACAAAATCTATCTTAGCACTCAATAAGCAGGAAAAAAAAACAACTCAATGCTCACTCAGCACCGCAGCCATCTCTAAATGACATGTTATAGCCCATTTAGGATGGGCCGTGGGGCATGGAAGCATAACAGAAGTAGCTAAAAAGCTCTAAGGGTGACTTGCTGGCATGTATAATCTCCTTGAGCTGTTGCAGCACATTTGTCGTGCTGAAATCCTAAACTGGGAATGCTGACACACACAAAACTTGGGCCACAATAAAGCTGCAACTAGAACTTGAGGGATGTACCATACGTTCAGCAGGCTGCTAAATTAATAATTGATCAGATTCGTGTTGATGCTCAAGGCCTTTGCTTAGATTAGACTGAAGTAGGACATGTTTATGTTCATAAAACTTTGCAAAGGTTATGACAATAAAGTGAAGCAAATAAAGCAAAAAGGCCATAAGGGCTGATAGTAATTGGATTTTTACTGGTTTGGCCAATGGCAGGATGATATGTGGGGGAAAAAAAACAGCCAGTATTGTTTGTTTGGTGTGAGAGTGGCATTTTTAACAGCACATAATTTGACATCTGGGTTGGTGCGTGTGTCTGCATGATAGAGTGATCCGATTTGTGCAAACGTAAAATGTGATTACCACAGATGCCGAGACGTGCCGTAACCACATTTGTGTCTGCGCTACACAAAAGCTGCATGGCATTTCTCCAGACTGATCTTGCAGTCGTGGAAAGTTCTCAGTGAGTGCTTATGCTTTTGAAGTTTTAAATCAAAAGAAATCTACCTAAATATGTTGTTTAGCATATTATTTATTTATTTATTCATTTTCAGAAGCGTTTAAATCAGTTGGGCTGAAATCTAGAATCTCCCAGCAAACATAGAACATTCCACTAACGTTACTGTGTGGTTCTTGTCTGGAAAAATGTACATGCAATGTTCTCTAATGGTTATTTTCAGGATTTTATTTTATAAACAAACATTCTCAAAATGTTGCAGAGGTTTTTGTGTGCTAACCTAATAAGGACGTATACACAACATTCTCTAATGGTTAATTTGAGGTTTTATTTTATGAACAGACTTCTCTCATGACAACTCCAAGAGAGTTTAGCATAATAATGTACATGACAATATTAATGTGTTTGGGCTTGGTGGAATAGATGCTGCGGCAGAGCAAGTACCGAGACTTTCTACTGCCAATACATCCACAGACACGCTGCTGTGAGCATGTAAGAAATACTGCTGCTGCACATTTAATGTATATGAAAATCCCCTGTGTATAACATACATGAAATCACCCTGTAGCAGATACAGGTGGAGCTGGGGAAGGTGAAGGGTTTCTGAAGTGCGCTGCAACTGCTACAGCAAGCACTAGCCAAGTATTTGAATGTTGAGCAGCAAGCTCATTGGCTTGCTGATACGAAAAGAAGCAAATCAGCTGCATGATGTGAATTTGATGTCATTATGTCAGATTGAGTTAGAACCTAAATCGAACTGCGCCATCTAGTGTTTCATGAAAGAACTTTGGATTTCGTCAATGTTGCAGGGACGTTTTTGCATATACACCATCTTTGATGGTTATTTTTAGGTTTTATTTTTATAAACACATTCTCAAAATGTTGCAGGAGGATTTTTGTGCTAATTTAATAATGTGTACAAAACATTTTAATGGTAATTCTTTTTAGGTTTTATTATATAAATAAACCTCAAAATGTTGCAGGGGAGTTTTTTTTGTGTCAGTTTAATAAAAAAAAATACACACATTTTTTTTTTATTTTATTTATTTTTTCAGGTTTTATTTTTATAAAAAAAAACATTCTCAAAATTTTGCTGGAAGGTTTTTGTGTGCTCACATAATAAGAATGTGCAGTATATACACATCTTCTTTAATGGTAATATTAGGCTTTATTTTAGGCTTTATTTATTAAAAAATGTATGTTCTCATTGACTTCCATAGTATTTTTTCGATACTATAGAAGTCAATGGAGATCATCAACTGTTTGGTTACCCACATTCTTTAAAATATCTTTGTTTATGTTCAGCAGAAGTAAAAAAAAAAAAAAAACGCATGCAGTTTCGGAACAACTTGAAGGTTTGTAAATTATGACAGAATTTTCATTTTTGAGTGAACTGTCCCTTTAACTTTCTTAAGGGTGATCATTTTGTTTTTCTTAAGGACCTAAGAGTGTATTCCCTGAGCCCATGGATGCCTTAAACTGTGGCACTGAAGGAAAGCAAGTGAGACGGTCAGTCACAGATCTATTTACATATGAATACTACATACTTAATGGTCTCATTTACACTCAAAAGTCACATGAATACTCAAGCATGCTGAATCCCAGTAAATATAATGACTGCATTTACATGATGAGATGATTAATTAAAACATGAGTTCACACATGGACACACTTGCAGGACAGTTGCCCATGGCAACGAGTAAATCAAATGCCTAGATTCCTGGAATGATTCTGCACTAGCATTTTTATGCACCACGTACATATTGTTGAATATAAAATACCTCATACTTGAATGGTTTGAGCCATCTAAGAAAAATAAACTGTTTTACTTTGTGCTGACAGCAGTTGAATAAAAGGCCTCTGATCTCTGCTCTGCTATTTGGTGTCTAAATAATGAGTGTTGGGAAGAATCTAGGACATTACCTTGACAGAATATAGGACATGATACGGCAGAGAAGGAAGGAAGAGGAGTTTGGGAATAGAACAGATTCCATCAGCCCATAAGTGTACACACTAAAAACTGAAGGGGCTGTAAAAATAACTGAAGAAGCTTTATGGGATGGTACTTGAGTTGGCTATATGAGTGATAACAAAAAGTCTTAGTATTTCTTTAAGTTATTGGTGTACTCAAACATATCAAGCCGTAAAACGCTGATTCTATTTAGAACCTTTATTTCTAAGAGTGAAAATGGCTGTTCAATTACATGTGCACTGCTGAGGAGAAATTACAGGAAGGTGTCAATATTTAATTTTGTGTTCTTAGAGCCAGAGCTGTTTGAGCTGTGTTGAACATGCCATATATTCATCACATTTCTCTGCTCAGGACAACCACGCTAGTGTCAGACCATGCTCCGTTGCCTAGCAACAAAAGTCACTGGGCATGAGACAGTCCTACAATGGGGGGAT